CTCCTCGACACTCAGCTCCTCCTCTAGATGGACCTCTCGGCTTCAGGGTTGGAACTCTTTGGGTTTGTTGAATTTTGGGCATAGCCTGTCGGCCTGAGATTCGGCACATGAGGTTCGGGTCTAGGATGGGCAGGCACTCTAGTTGTCTAGGAGTCCAGGATGCAGGGAGATGCATGGAATCTACGGGTGCGGAGTTCTCAGAACTGGGATTTTGAGCTGGGAAGAGCGTTGATTGTCACCACCCTGAAAGCCTACAGGGAGGCCTGAAAGCTCCTAATGTAGGGGCCTTAATAATTGCAATACGATTTTGGGGGGTTCCTTATTATAATTCTGGTATAGTGCGCCCCAAAACCCTATTCTAATCGCTTCCCTTAGCACTAAACGCCCCCCTAATATAAAACCTGCCGGTCCCCGGAATTTTGCGGTTTCGGGCCCACAATTGAAAGTTAATCAAAAACATTAGGGGGGCCGAGGGATTGTATTATTTTAATGGAGCCAAGACTACAGTAGTACTAAACCACAAGGACCAGGGCTTTAGGGTTTAGGGGTTAACGGCTCACGGCTTAAGGCTTTAGGGTTTAAGGCTTTCGGGTTAAAAGCTTAGGGCTTAAGGCTTTGGGGCTTAGGTGTTTAAGGCGTAAGGCTCTAGGGTTCAGGGCTTAGGGGTTAATTAAGGCCTCAGGGCTTAGGAGTTACGGGCTTAAGGCGTCAGGGATTAGGGGTTAAGGCTAAAGGCTGTAGGGCTCTTGAGGCTCAAGGCTACAGTCTACAGTAATCCGACTCACACCCGGATGCGCCGAACCCCCGCCCCATATATACAAACTGAACCTCCGGATTTGAGCTTTTATATTAGGGGGGTGGCGGTTAAATATTAGGGGGAAGGAATTAATTATTAAGGCCCCTTTATTAGAGCCTTATAAAGCCCTTGTAATGACCCCTTTCGACCCTTTAAAGGAACCCCATTCTAATTCTCAAGGCCCCTACAAACAGAGCCTTCAACCCTAAACCCTCAACCCTCATAGTAGCCCTTATAGAACCCTTTGAACCCTAGTCCCTACAAACAGAGCCTTCAACCCTAAACCCTCGACCCTCATAGAACCCTATGAACCCTAGTCTAATACCCTAAACCCTAAACCCTAAACCCTAAACCCTAAACCCTAAACCCTAAACCCTAAACCCCTAAACCCTAAACCCTAAACCCTAAACCCTAAATACTAAAGCCTTCAAGGCCGGTTCCGCAAGGTTTCCCTGGCTGGGCTCAGCCGGGCCCAGGGGCGGAAGCAGTCTTTGGGTTCAGGGTTTAGGGTTTTAGGGGTTCCAGGTTTAGGGTTTAGGGTTTAGGGTTTGTATAGGGGTTTAGGGTTTAGGGGTTTCGGGTTTAGGGTTTAGGGTTTAGGGTTTAGGGTTTAAGGTTTAGGGTTCAGGGTTTAGGGTTTAGGGTTTAGGGTCGTAATCTGGGGGCCTGAATAGTTAGCATAGGGCACCCCAGTATACTATACTTATAATAGAGAACCCCCAAAATAGTATTGGTAATAGTTGCCCTATACTAAGCCCGAAGGCAGCGACATCAGAATGCCAGTGAAACAAGGTTGCGATGGTTGCTGTGGTTAGTTCTCTAAACTAGGGTTCCTTTTAGGGTTCCTTAAGGGGATCTATAAGGGTTTCTACAGGGTTCTATATGGGTAGTTCTCTAAATTAGGGTCCCTTTTAGGATCTGTTTTTTAAGGGTGCCGTACGATATTGCGGACCTAGAAATGGACGCTAATTTAGAGAACTACCCATGTGGTTCTTAGTCATAGTCTGTGGTAGTACGCTTTACAGCCAGAGACATCCTTACCTTGGCGCCGGAAGCAGATTTGCAATCATGCTCTGTACACCCCGGGCCCTGAACCGATCATTGCTGCAAAGGGGCCGTGACTATGCCCAACGCTGCGGCGGCTGAAGTGTGCAAGAACCTGACAGAGGTGGAGATTACTTCCATGATGCCGGGTTATTGTTAACACTGGTTCCAGCTGATCGTCTTCTCGTGTGTCAACAGATGTCTCGGTATCGCAACCGTCACCATCGACACAGGGCCATGACGGTGGTGATGACCACGACGACGATCAAGCAAAGAAGAGTCTGGACGATAGCGGCGACGCACAGGAGACGACGATGACCAGCACGACAGCAGCAAGAACTCAAATCCAACATGCAACCACATGTAATGTAGGGGCCTTAATAATTTAGAATAGGGTTTTGGGGGTTGCTTATTATCATTATAGTATAAGATACCCCCCAAACCTCACTCTAACTATTAAAGTCCCCTATAGTAGGGCCCAGATGTCGGCCGAGCTGCAACGCAGAGGCGGAGTCCACCGACAACCGATTGGCTCGAGTCGGAGCTGGTGTTTCGGCCGCTGCGCCTGCATCTTTGGCAAGTGTTACGTTTTGTAGGGCTTTTAATTTCAGGATCTGGGGCACACGTCGCTTATCCAGGATAGCAATATTGAAATATCAC